GAAGCTACGTGTGTGTGCTCATGTTATCTTTGCAGCCTAAAAGACATATTTTCTTCAAGAACATTTTTACTTTTGGTCCTTTTATAATTTCAAGAGAAAAACAGTATTTTTCATGTCTACTCGATCTGCAAATTGAAAAATGTCAAGCAAACAGTGCAAGTATGGGATTTAGGGTTTCGGCTTTTTAAGTCTTCACTTATTATTCAGCCTTAAACCAACTTCAACAAACTGTATGTTTGCTTAACCCTTCTTCTTTCCTGATGGCTGAAATGTCCACCAACACTGAACACAACAGCTGATGCGGACTTGGGAGCAGCATTAATAAGGCAATGTGCGTCAATGAAACTGGTTTTCATTTTCCCAGATGTTGATTTTTTTGTTTTACTTGGAAGGACTTTGTCACGATCTGTCTGTGTTGTGTGTTGTCATGTCTAGATCTGTCTTTGTTTTCCTGTTTTATTTTGAAAAGTGCCCCCCCCCCCGTTTTGCCTGTTGATTCCTGTCTCTGTGTTCCCTGCCTGATTACCTGATTGTGTTCACCTTGTGCCCCTGTGTTTTCTCCTCCCTCCTCACCTGTGTCTTGTTTAAGATAATGTGACGCCGACAATTGAGCGGCCCGACCAAGCAAGGAGGCAGAGGCAGAACGTCCAAAATACAACCCGGTGTGGGCATTTATCACATCATAAACATATGACACAGCCTCAATCTGCTGCCCACGTGAACACAGTCACCAGCCACCACAAGGATCTCACACACACTACCAGCCCCCTAACAGACAGGGAAACAGAGCCTAAATACACACACACACTAATCAGCAATTAGACACAGGTGGGGGGGGGGAGACAACACAGGGCACCAGGTGCACACAATCAACAGCAACAGACATGGGGGAAAGGGGAACACTTTTCAACATAAAACCAGCAAACAGACAACCTAAAACACAGACAGATGCACACACTACATACATTTCGCCACCAACAAAGCTACACAATTCGTAACGGAGGCCGAGATCTATGGCCCCAAAGATCACCTCCGTTACAATGTGATAGTCTTGTGTGCATTTAAGTTCTGGTTTTTCTGTCTGTCGTTGTTGTTGCTGGAAGGATTTTGTTCAGAGAGATTTTTGCGTTTTGCCTTGCCTTGTTTTACTTTGTTGCGTGGCCTAGTTCCGCAAATAAAGTATTTTGGATATCAACCAATCTCCTGCATTTGGGTCCTGTGTAACTTGCCCTCCAGCCGTGACAGACTTTCCATGATGATTAAAGATTCTGGCAGTAAACACTGCATGTATGTAAGAAAAATATTCTTCATACACTAAGTCTAAATAAGCCAGTTGAGTAATTATGATTGCGATCTAAAACGTCCCATTGAAGACCTAAATCATAAGCAGGTGGACCAGAGTGGCAACATTAAGGAACCTGATCTAAATGAGAGATTGCATGTACAGGGTACATTCAGTATCCAATATTTGTAATGTTGGCTTCATGTAAGAGCATACATTTACTATGGCCCCAAAGGGTTAAATATCCTGTCTTTTCAATGAAATGATGTGGCTCCAGCGTTTGCGTCATAGTGGTTTTATGGCCAACTGTAGGGTCAAATACTGCTGCTCTCGGAGGAATACATTGTTAACATGAAAAGCTTGGTCCATTGATTTTAATTTGCATGTAGAGTTATTAAGTTGTCTTGAAGGATCGAAATATCATGTTGTAGAAACAGAGTAATATTTCAAATATTAAGACTTGTTTTCCCTTATAGACAATAAATTACATAAGAGAAAATACAAAGAATAAAATGCATTTTCTGATGTCTGATTTAGTAAGTTCTTAAACGTTGCCAATAAACAAGCAAAGCACCCATTCATAATATACATTGCTTGAAGACAAAAATGTGCAATTACTGTTACATTGGCTTCCAGGTGTTTCCTGAGGGTGCATTAACCTTGAAAGTGAAGTAAGTAAATTGGTCTCATGACGGATATCTGGCTATTCATATCCCTTGAGCCAATTAGAAGACAGATGATGAAGGGGCTGAGGGTGCAGAGCAACACCACCACCAGGTTATTTAAAGGACTTTGGCGAGTCCTCATTGTGCTTACGAAAGCAGTGAGAGAACAGGTGGACACAGCTGGCAGTGTTTTGGGGAAAAAGGCCACCACTTCAAGGTTGTCACAAGAGCACTGACAATATCTGCTGACACACCCAATGGTCCTCTAAAACAGATATGCAGAAATACATCCATGATTGCACAGAATGAATGAAAAAGGGGTGCACGTTTATCACTGGCCCCAGCCTGGTAGCAGCAGAGGCAATGGCCAGATTGAAGACAGGCGATTGATTAGATTGATAGAAGAAAATAGTAAAAAGCTATCATCCAGAAAACGTACAAGATACAGATGCATGAGGTTTTGATTGCTGAAAGATTATATGATTTTCATCACTTAGGCTAGGACCTCCGATACACTTACATGCATAGACATAATAAACTGTGATAATCGTCTCAATTTTTCACTCCATAAAAGAAAGGAGGAAAAAAAATTTTTTAACTGAAAGCTAGAATGAGGAATGCGTGTTTTCCCGTAGCGTGACACATTTCACAGTGGTTTCTGTTTCCTTTTCTCTGGTTCTTCCACAGCTGTGTCACTAAGCCCTTTGGTTATGTTACTCTAAATGTTATAAATCATTTAAATCATGCTGCTCTCACGCACCCTTCCAAAATCATAGAGGTCTGCAGCACATGGGAACAATTGTCTGGCTTGCGTGAGAGCTTGTGATGACACACGTGTATGTGTTTGTGTTTGTGTGTCTGTCTTTTACTTGTTCCCTCGCAATGCCATTCCTTCCAGTAATCTCCTGTACTTCAGAGCATTTATGGTAGACTAAATGACAGACCCAGGACTCGAACTTGGGTCATTTTGTTCAAGAACACATTCACTGACCAGTACATAACCCTACCATCAGTCATGATTTAAATTGTTTTCAAAAGTATTTCAACCAATAAAGAAGCTATGTATTGCCTATATCACTGCTCTGGAGGCTCTTGCCTGTCAAGTTACACGTATTTATATAAGCTATGATATAATATACACTGAACAAAAATATAAATGCAACACTTTTGTTTTTGCTCCCATTTTTCATGAGATGAACTCAAAGATCTAAAACATTTTCTATAAACACAAAATAACCATTTCTCTCAAATATTGTTCACAAATCTGAAAACATCTGTGATAGTGAGCACTTCTCCTTTGCCGAGATAATCCATCCCACCTCACAGGTGTGGCATATCAAGATGCTGATTAGACAGCATGATTATTGCACAGGTGTGCCTTAGGCTGGCCACAATAAAAGGCCACTCTGAAACGTGCAGTTTTGCTTTATTGGGGGGGTCAGAAAACGCTAGGGTTAAACCCTAACCCTAACCCTAACATGTCACCCATCTCCTTCGCATAGAGTTGATCAGGTTGTTGATTGTGGCCTGTGGAATGTTGGTCCACTCCTCTTCAATGGCTGTGCGAAGTTGCTGGATATTTGAAAGTACTACTATTCAAGACGTCATTTTGTGGACGACATACATTCTTTTTATAAAGAATAATTGGGTGATTCAGATTTATTCGGTCAACTCATTAATACTAACGACTAGATTTTGAAAGGGTACTTCTGGATTAAGTATTCGTCACCTGGTCTCACCGTTGCTAATCCTTGGACTTAGATTTACTTCTCTAACGTACATGTCCATGTAAGTCATAGGTTTATAAAATTTTACAACGAAGTACATTCCTCGTATGTAAATGATACCGGTTTCCTCTAATTATAGGGACAGAAAAGTTACTTTACTACCGAGGTCCGCAAACGCAGTAATCAAAATACCGTTGACATCCCAGTTTATACGACGAGAGCCTCCTTATGTAACAATTGTCTTATCCGAATCCAGGGGTAACTAAAATTAAACGTACATCTCAATAATTCAACAGAACTTCCTAGCTTTATAGTACCATCTTTTGTCTCATTATAAAGTTTTATAATTCTGAACAAAAGGGAATACTTTAGTTAATGTATCTCTTTTATTTTCTTATTTTACGTAAAGACTACAAGACTAAATCATTCAAAGAATTTGCAAGACGGTTATTGTTCGTTCGTGGGTAAGTATTAATAATTGTTAACGAACCTTTTTTTCACCGTTATGCATGTAAACCAAGTCACAAAGGACTCCGACGTAATTCGGAACTTTCACTTCATTCATTTACAGAGTACTGCTATAGACGATAAGTATAGGAACTGCGGTTATCTTCCTGTCTACTTACTTCCCGACTCCACGTCCCTCGTTGGGGTGGTGGTCATAAAATTTCCCTGAAACCGCTCAGGAGGTACACGAATGCTCGTCAACTCTCCTGTCCCAACCTGTGTGTCGACCGTTCACAAACCCTTTTTACGTGGTGAAGTTCAACAGTGTTCCTCGGTGACTGTTATAGACGCTGTGTGGGTTACCAGGAGATTTGTCTATACGGTCCTTTATGTAGGTCTACGTTCTTACTTACCTTTCCTCACACGTGCAATAAGTGACCGGTCGGACCATCGTTCGTCTCCGTTAGGTCTAACTTTCCCCTGTCGCTACTAATCTAACTATCTTCTTTTATCATTTTTCATAGTAGGTCTTTTGCAAATGTTCTATGTCTAACGTACTTCCAAACTAACGACCTTCTAAATACAAAAGTAGTGAATACGAATCCCTGGAGGTATGTGAATTGTACGTATCTGTTTATTATTTGAACACTATAGCAGAGTTGAAAAAAAAGGTGAGGTAATTTTCTTCCTCCCTTTTTTTTAAAAAATTGACTTTCGATCTTACTCCTTACGCACAAAAGGGCATCGCACTGTGTAAAGTGTCACCAAAGACAAAGGAAAAGAGACCAAGAAGGTGTCGACACAGTGATTCGGGAAACCAATACAATGAGATTTACAATATTTAGTAAATTTAGTACGACGAGAGTGCGTGGGAAGGTTTTAGTATCTCCAGACGTCGTGTACCCTTGTTAACAGACCGAACGCACTCTCGAACACTACTGTGTGCACATACACAAACACAAACACACAGACAGAAAATGAACAAGGGAGCGTTACGGTAAGGAAGGTCATTAGAGGACATGAAGTCTCGTAAATACCATCTGATTTACTGTCTGGGTCCTGAGCTTGAACCCAGTAAAACAAGTTCTTGTGTAAGTGACTGGTCATGTATTGGGATGGTAGTCAGTACTAAATTTAACAAAAGTTTTCATAAAGTTGGTTATTTCTTCGATACATAACGGATATAGTGACGAGACCTCCGAGAACGGACAGTTCAATGTGCATAAATATATTCGATACTATATTATATGTGACTTGTTTTTATATTTACGTTGTGAAAACAAAAACGAGGGTAAAAAGTACTCTACTTGAGTTTCTAGATTTTGTAAAAGATATTTGTGTTTTATTGGTAAAGAGAGTTTATAACAAGTGTTTAGACTTTTGTAGACACTATCACTCGTGAAGAGGAAACGGCTCTATTAGGTAGGGTGGAGTGTCCACACCGTATAGTTCTACGACTAATCTGTCGTACTAATAACGTGTCCACACGGAATCCGACCGGTGTTATTTTCCGGTGAGACTTTGCACGTCAAAACGAAATAACCCCCCCAGTCTTTGGCGATCCCAATTTGGATTGGGATTGGGATTGTACAGTGGGTAGAGGAAGCGTATCTCAACTAGTCCAACACTAACACCGGACACCTTACAACCAGGTGAGGAGAAGTTACGACACGTCNAGACAGTCCTGTATACGTAAATGCAGATATTTTGAGTGCCTACCTGGCTCGGGATAGAGATCAGTCCTATGTGTGATAAACACACAGCCTCGGTGGAGAAGAGCCAGGTAGGCACTCAAAATATCTGCATTTACGTATACAGGACTGTCTCAGAAAATTAGAATATTGTGATAAAGTTCTTTATTTTCTGTAATGNAAAATATCTGCATTTACGTATATATGAAAGAAAAAGTTATAATAATCGTACTTTCGGTTCTAATGTGCCTGCTTTCTACTCTCCAGGTGTCGATGAAACCCACCTGGAGAGTAGAAAGCAGGCACATTAGAACCGAAAGTACGATTATTATAACTTTTTCTTTCATATATACGTAAATGCAGATATTTTGAGTGCCTACCTGGCTCTTCTCCACCGAGGCTGTGTGTTTATCACACATAGGACTGATCTCTATCCCCCTCTCCCTCTCTCTGTCTCCCTGGTGGAAGAACTCGTCCATTATCCGATCAGTCCACTGACGATACAGCTCCAGGGACTTGGTGGGGTTACTCAGGTCGGCACAGTGCACCATGTTACGCAGCACCTGTAAATAATACAGAAATGTAATTTAGTATATGCTTGTTTAGTGAGTATATATAATTGCCGCCCCCAAAGTTTAAAAGACATTTTTAGTCTTCTCTTGTAAAGTACTACAGATTAAGGCGACTGAGATTTACACAGAAGCGGCATTTAAGGTTCTTTCTATAAAGGGTTTTGTTATGAAAGGAAGTCAGTCTAGAAAGAAGAACTCCTAGAAAGACCATTAAGGGGCAAGTGTAGAGGGAGTACTTAAAGGTAAAAAAGAAGACGGATGGAGTGAGAAAAAGAGTGACAGCAGGGAGCAGAGGTCAGCTATGTAGGAGGCCGGCTAATGACCATTGGCTGAGTAACCTCTGCCAACAATGACTATTGATTAGAGCTATTAAAAGCTGCGAAAGAGAGGTGGAGGGCTTGCAGTGTCCAATCACATTCTCACAGTCCATCCAAGGAAATATATTAAGAATGCTTTTTCTTTTAACTGTCCCTTTTTTTATTGTTTTCTAAATCTCAACACCCACCTGTATCCTGTCTGTGTAGTTATCCAGCAGCAGTACTCCTGAGCTCGTCACCTTCTTTGTCTCCACCATAGTCTTCAGATCAGCCAGCAGACTCATGTGTTTGGACATGTCAGTGGCCAAAACCTGCATAAAAGAAAGAGAACCATTCATCAGCATTAGAATAATTTCGGAATGTTATAATATAAATCGAGAAGAGGAAATACTATGAAACAGGATTTCTTACCAGGTCGATGACCATCTTGCGGAGGGACTGTCGCTGCTTCTTAGGGACGTTCTGGAATATATCACAGTTGTCTTCCTGTAGTAGCTTGAATCCCACAGCCAGGTGATGGTTCTCCAGCACAGACTCATCGTTGTACATCAACGCCAGCTCAGAGTCTGAAAAAGCATCAAAAATATATATTTTAGTCTCTGACATAACGGCTTCTATCCCTATCTATTCTATACATTTTCAGGAAAGCAACACATCATTTCAATCAGTCCTGTGATGGGTATTATTTTGACTTACTGGTGTTGATTAGGAATTGGTTTGATACTCCAGGATGGTCAACATCATGGATAGCTGCAGCAAAGATGGCTGCTAGGATCTCAAGATCTGTGAACACCGCCTAAGAAGAGGTGGAAAACAAAACATTAAACATTTCTAAAGGGTTAAAAAAACAAAAGAATAACTATATATATCTATGCCAATTTTCAATCAAATACGAAGTCTGCCTTTCTTTCTACACAGATCAAGTACATGTACTGTATAACACTGTGTGCGCAGGATTCAATAGATGAAAGACAGCCAAAAAGAGAAGATCAATAGCTTAAGTCCGGGGCATTCTGACCTGACTGTGTCCTACCAATGCTGATACAAAATGCATGCAGGGAAAATCTAACAAATAAGTCACAGAGGGCCAAGTGTTGGAGGAACGAAGGGTAATTCCCCGATCAATGGGGGAAGATATGATTCAATGGAAGGAGGTTGAGTTCTTGAAAGTTGGTGTGGCGATCCAGGAAAATTGCAAATGGGGTGATGTAAGCGCCCACGCCTCTAATTCAGTTTCCCCCTTCTGTGGATACTCACTGGTGTCTAAGTCAGAAGTGGTGATTTTTTTAACCCGTAAAGTAGAAAGTGGACCTTAATTTGATAATATTCCAAGACTCTGATCTGAGGTATTAAAAACAAGTAGTATAATTAACTATATAATAACTTACATCTAGGGCTGGAGTGGAGAGGAGGATGTGTGTGGATTGGGCTACGTCAGCAGCATGCAGGCTGTTATGGTAGGCCACATCTGAATGGTAGTGGTCCTCCAATGTCATCATGTAGGCCACGAACGTATCCACAGGGATTTGAAATGTCTTTAACAGGTCTCGCTCCTAGGAAAACCAACATGGTAGAATGTTTAGGAATAAGTGTGCTTCATTTGAGTAGAAATAAACAACAAGTATAAGTGGAGAAACAACAGAATACAGAATTCCAGACAATTCATACCTGGAAGATGGCGTACATGATGCAGGTAAGAGGCCGACTGTGGGAGTACTCTGAAACGGTGAAGATGTTCAGGCCCCACTTGTTGAGGTCCTCCAGCTCTTTGGACAGCAGCTCCTCCTTATCGGTCTTGACGCCGAAGCGCGAGATGCTGCTGGTGGAGAGCGAAGGACCATGGGAAACCTTTTTGACTCCGCTGATCTGTGTCATCAGCTGCTGCCTCGTCTGCTTCTTCTTCTCTCGCGCCTTGGATGTCGGCGACGGCATCTCCACCTCATTCTGTTTGTCTGAGGGACAAGAAGATAGAAAGTTGTTAGTTTTTACTAATGTGTAAGAAAATTGGTTAAATTTGGCCTCATACAAGAAGAGGTCTGATAATGAATCTACTCTGCAATCAAATGAGATCATATGCTGCCATTGGATCCAGGTGCACTATAGAAACACCTGCAGCTGGTTGGCTACTGAGGGATTTATTTATTCACTCACTCATTCATCATCTGTACCTCCATTCATTTGTTCAGTCATGCTGCCCTCTCCTCCACCTGCAGTCTCTCTGTGCTGCTACTGTTCATTTTTCTCTGCCCCCCCCCCCACCTATTAGCAGGTGGCTCACATCTCATCTCCTGTTCTCTTGACTTTCACAAGGCAGTCCATTGACAGACTGAGAGCTGCGGCTCCAACACAGTTAAGGCAGGTCCATAATGTCGGCCATTCAATAAACTGCCACATCTTTCACAGCTTTGTCAAATCACTTAGTGTAGAGTGGGATTTTTATGTCTAGTTTGTCTTATTTATAAGTTGACTCAACCACAGTTGGCCTGGCTACAGATACATCGAGCAAGAAGTCCTAAAACACATTTAAAACCTTTATAAAAACCTTTTAAAAAAACAATAAAAAGGGAAATTGTTAACTTTTTTGCAATAGTAAATATAGAAATCTGCCAATAATAAGTCATAGCCTGCAGGGCTGTGTTCATCACAGAGGAATTGAATGAAATCCTGAAGGGACTGGCTATCGGCACGAATGTGAGCTGCGCACTCATCTATCAGCCTTCCCCTGTGGAGGGTTATTCAATTACCAGCTGTAATTCAAATAATCACTTTCACTCTCACGCTCTCCCTCCCTCTCTCTTTCATTGTATGCTATTATTTTTCTCTCTGTCTCTCGCTCTCCCTTCAGTCCTCCAGTGGTAATTGAGAATGGGCAATTAAGCGCTCTCAGACATGTGATGCGTGGGAAACAAGGGGAAGAGCAATATATTGCCCTCTAATTTATTACAAGCCATCATTATCACCAATGCTGTGTGGTGTCTTTGCGTCCTTTACATGTATGTGTGTAGGAGAGAGAAGGACCCGTTTGTGAGAGTTTTCAGTGTCACAAGTAAGTGCCAATATGCTGCGGACGGCATGGACTGATACGACTGATACATTTTAAGTGAACCTGATGTACCAGTTGAAATCCTCTCGTTTTGGACTGCAATGTGCTAGTCAAGCAAAGTACATTTCATTTGTTTTCTCATCCATTTTCACTCTTCTCTTCTTCGCATTAAGCTTATCTTATCTTTTTTTTTCCCAATTTGAGGATTTCACAAAAATAATAATAATACTGAAGCAGCCGAAGTAAAAATGTGTGTTGTTTCTCTCCTGTTCTCCCTTCTCGTTCCCTCTACTCTGTCACCTCCCACGTCTATTTCGATTTCTTTTTCATCCTCCTCTATATGCTCTCTTCTGAGAGACACAGATGCAGTAGGGAAGGCAGGGAGGGGTGCGTTTGTTGGGGCCATTTTTTCCCTTGGTGTATTCCCCGAACTAGGTGTGTTCTGCTGCTGGCTGATCAAAGGGAATTATGACAGAATTATGCTGCAAGCTGTGACGGGGTTAAAGGCACACGTGAATGGCCAGGGTGCTATCTGCTAACAATCCTTAAAGGAAAGTGAGAAAACCTGGACTGAAATCACCCTAAATGAGTAACTCTGCAGTCTTTATTTATCTAGGGAATTACCAGGCTTTATGAGCAATGTTTTACGGTTCAAAGGTCCGCCTTTCCATCAGTTGAAAGCTTTAAAACCGAGATAGTCTATAATAAAATCATTGGGATTTATGTTGTATCTAAGAATAACCTCTGCAGAACATGGCATGTGACAGGAAATGATCATTTATCTGGGCCTAAATAAAGAATATCTAGAGCAGAAATAAGGGCATTACTGACGTGATACTAATCTTAATGGATGGGAGGATTAAACTGGTCAGCTGAGGCCCAACCATGCCAGCTTTGCTGCTTCAGCCGTTTTTTCCCCACCCACTCCTCATAACTGTTTTTTCCCCTACCGCCAGTGGGGTGATCCCGACTTCCTTATCGAAGCGATAGTCATCTCTGTCGGGATTCTCGGGGCAGCGAGAGGTGGAGTGACAACAAGGTGTCCCCGCTGACAAAGATGCACTAAGATGGGGATGAGTCACTGAATCTGCCGAGATCATCTCACTGCCAGCTAAGGGGGTTCCTCTATACCTCTATTTCTTTCCCTCACTGCAGTCACCTCCCTCTCTCCCTCCCTCCCACGTTTGTTTTTTCTCTGTCTCTCATCAACCTTTCCCTCTCTCTCTATGATCCGGTGAGGAGGGATCCGCCAACAACACTAAACCGGATGAGTTTGCCAATCGATCAGAAGCCACTTCCCATAAATAATCTGAACTACTTCAAGGAGCATTCTGTCACCCTTCTAGCATCCCTTTTGTTTTTCAATCTATATTTCTAATTATTGAATAATTTGTCTAACTTTAACATTACTTTCTTTAGCTCCTGTGGGTTTCTCCCATTGACCAAAAGCCTACATTGAACCCATTTGAAGAAATCGGCTGTTTTTTCTTATTGTGCCGATTTTCATATTTGTATTGCCACACAGTGACTCGATGGTGTTGTTTTGTACCGGGGTCACGCAACATGATGTTCATAGGGCTGTCAAAAAAGAGAAGAAAAGTATCTAAATACAGTATAAAAATATATAAATGTATTCCCATCTATTCTCAGAGCTCAAGTTTGCAACCCACACTGACAGCATCCACTTCCAAACCGCTCAGATTCTTGTTAACAAGCCCCTTGTTGTCAAATTACACTTTAACAGTAGTCGGCCACCTTAAACACCCTTTTTTTGCCCTTTGTCATTCTTTAAGAAATGTACCCTTCTTACTTCAATATCTATGGCCATTTGGAGCCCGATGACATCTAGACAAAGCTAAATGGCGCAGTGTTTTATGGTACGCCCCCACAGAAAAGCCTGCCAGATCAACTTGCACAGCTTAACATGTACTGAACCGCCACAAACACATTGCAGCAAAACAGAGTGGGGCCGTCTTTGTGAGCAACTACATCTTTTTTGTATTTTTAGTTTTATATGAGCTGTTGGGACTTTATATGTATATAGAGTTATTGTTGGTAAGGATTATTGATTAACTATACAAACAAGATTCATGAGTCTTGACAGTAATTTTACCTAGGAAGGTGTTGGAGATGAATTCGGAAACCTGATTCCCGGACCGACTCATCTCAGATAGGTGCGTCAACTCCCGATTCAACATCCTCTTGAACTGCAAGAGAAAAAGAGAGAGAGGAGGGGGGAGAGGGAAGAAATGTCGTCAGTTTCCAGAGAGGGGAAAACCTGGGAAACATTACGGTACAAGATTCCATGCAAAATGCAGCAGTATTCCACCAGCTCAAGATTATTATTTAATTACAGCGTCAAATCAGTGGGGTGACACACATGTTATTTCCCCCTCCATTTTCCCTGGAATTAATGAGGATGCTGATCATTATTTGTTTTACCAGTGGGGAAGTCAACCCCTCTTTATAACCCTCAATTCACCCCGGGCAACCAATTTTCTGTTTTATTGCACTGAATCACATTTCTGGGGCCTATTTAGCTGCTTCACCTACGTCAGTATGCAAACATTTCAATGATGTCAAGAGCAAAGTCTGCACAGTGCACTCTAAATTCCTCTTTGTTACAACATTCTTTAAATGTTCATGTACTTTCAATAACATGAACCATTTTGAATAGAGGAAATAGTTGAGGGAGACGGGTGCATTTGACAGAACATGGAGACCCGAGCACTGCAGCAGCAGCTGTTTATGACAGACTGATGCATGCGCGTGCACACACATACAGACCAACTCACACATACAGACCAACACACACATACAGACACACAGAGCTCTGCAAAGGGCTCAAGATGGAGCCTGAGCCACAAAAACCATTCTGTCAGACCCCCCTTCATCATGATGGAAATGTATTTCGGTGAAATTAGGCTAGCACAGTTATCTCAAATGCTCCACAAAATAATTATCAAAATGCTGAATTTCAACAGCAACACAGCAAAGCGATACAATGAAATCCATATGTTATCCCGATATGCTACGTAGATAAGCGCCACACACCTTAATGTAACCCCAAGACACCGACAGCAGGTAATTTGCTTCAGGCATTTTGGACCCCGTTTTTTGGTTCCTACACAAAGCCAGAACTGTAATCCAATAGAAAAAATTGGAGGCAGACAAACAGGATTCTTTCAATGCCAAAAAGGACCACAAAATCCCTTCTTCTCTTGTCTTGTGTTTCCCTTTCAGCAGCTAAGAGAGCAGCTCGACGATGGCTCACTCTCCCTCTCAGCAGCAGAAAAAGGCCAGCTTTGACTCTCCATGCCTGTGGAGGGATGCAAGAATAGATGGAAGGACAAATGGAGGAAAAAGAAGACAATGTAGCGAGGAGAGGAGGAGATCCAACAGGCTCGGTGGTTCGGATGGAGCAGCTGGACTCTCAGCGCACAGATGAATTATAGAGGAGCGAGAAAGGGAGGAGGAGGAAAAAAACAACGATGGAGCAGGAGGGAGGGAGTGAGGTAGTGATGTTCATCTGACTGGAGGGGGGGTTCCTCCACTGGATTTGTCTTGCTTTGCTGCTCTCACTGCTGTAGCGCTCACTCCCCCTCCTACCCTGCTTTTCTCTCTCTCTATTCGGTTCCCTCCCTCTCCTGTCTCTTTCCCCCCGCTGTAGTCTGCCAACCCCACCAACACGCTCTCTTCAGAACACATCATTTGACAGAAAGTGGGGAGAAGGGGGAGCCCTAATTACGGCTTGGCATTGGTGTAAACACGAGGTTGTGATGGGATGTTTGAGTGACTGATATTTTATATCCAGACTTGAGTTCCTGATAAGATGTCCTCTCTCCTCACGTTTTCCAGCTGTGCAACCATTGCCCATGAATCCCATCCTTGTCTATTCCCAACCCCTGTAATTCCCTCTCAAAGGCATTCTTTCATGACGTCAGTTCAGCCATTGTAAAGGAATTTCGTGGAGCTGTACAGCTATTCCTTCCCTCTACAGTAAAACAATAATTTGACAGAGGGGATGGAGCATGTTTAAGGAATGTGAATGCAACTGTATTTATCGCCATTATCTCTATTATTATCCTCTCCCTCTTTTGAGTCTTCTGTTGTCTACTGACATCCCGAGCGTGGCGGCCATTGTAGAGATCTCATAAGCCTGGTCATTATCTGCATCCCATAATAATATTGGAGGGTATCTGTGCAGGGCTATTTTTACCAAGCGCGAGACAACTATGGAGTGAGGAAGACAGTCAGAGCAGAGGAAAAGAAAAAAGAGAGAAGGGAGATAATTGCATCCTTCCCAAATTTGGTCAGTGAAAGTGTGTGTGCGCCAATTACCAGAACACCGCAACGCTATGGCAACAGCATCAGGCACAGTGTAGGGCTGTTTTGAAAAGGAGGAGAGGCTTCCCCTTTTCCTTTTCCAAGGCAGCCATGTGGTGTAGCTGCTGAGCTGTCACGAGAATGCACCACACACATCGCCTCTGCTCACATTCATCAACCTCCCCCTCCCCTCCGCTCCATCTCTCCCTCACTCTCCACCACTTACATGTCAATTTCTCTCCCTGCTGCCAACACTGTCATCAATCAATTTCTCTGTCTGTCTGCTTCAATGGCAGAATCAATGGGCTGTCCTTGGAGCAGGTGTTGATACTGCTGCAGTGTGCAAGGCTAGGGCCACCTGACTGATATACTGTTACACCAGAACCGCCAGCCTATTTTGATGGCGCTGCTTGTGCTTTTTGTCACGACTTTTGTTCTGTGAAACCCCTCAGCGGATCGCTCTTCTGCTTTCGCTAATGAGAAAATATCCAGTTTTGTCAGTTCAGAGCCAATCCATGGGAAACTGTAAACAGAAGTTCCCACAGAACCTCTCAGTCCGATGCGTTTGTGTGTGAACGAGTTCGGAAAGATGAGGGGGAGATCAAAGCTTCCCCGAGAGGATCCCGGATTATCCTCCCACTGAGGGAAAGAACCAGAAGCAGGGAGGTGGGACGCGAGAGAAAATAAATAAATAAAAGAAACAGAGGAGGCAGCTCTTTAGCTTACTGCATAATATATAAAGAAACCAGAAATAACAGCGGGGGATGTCTCTCTGCAATGTGTTGAAGAGCTGTGCTTCGCCCAAGGGCTGGAAGAAATGCCTCAGTGCACACAGTCAGCAGCAGCCAACAAATGCTATTATCTACAGTTAACCACAATTGATGCTGATATGTCACATGCATGTTTTACACACTCGTATGTGTGTATTATTGCAAGTGTGTATCTGATTGTGTTGTATATCAGGGGAAGAAGGCAAGCCACTTTACCTCCTAGTGACACCATGACGCTTGAGGAAGATTGGCCCCTCGAAGCTTTATGGGTATCTCTCTTTCACATACCCACATAGTATAGGTATATACAGTATATATGTTTTCCTCTTATCCTGTAGTATATCATTATTTGCCATCAAGTTATCCTTAACATTGCTACAAGCACAGTCCAGTTTATTTATTATGCCAATTTCTTTGCTTGATTCTCATCTGTAGTGGTTCAGATTTAAGTTGTGCCTTTAAGCCACCAGTGGGTGCACTACGCTCAGTCAGAAGCAAAAAAACAGCCTGTTCAGTTTTCAGAGAGCAATGACCTCTTAACCCTGCAGTAACATAAATGCACTGCTTGACCTATGGAGAAAAAAACTGTGTAAATGATATTTTTCTATGCAATATAAAAACATGCAAACAACTGTTGTGTTGGCAGTTGTTCAACTACAGTAACTAATCTGTTAATCTGTATTTACAAAGATGAGTGTGGAAGTTTTGAAAAGCAAATTAATAACACAAAAAGGTTACATTTTTTTCCTTAAATTAATTATTAATACCATAACAACATTTCTTTATCATCTGAATCTACTTAGTACATATCATTTTACATTTACTGAATGCAACATCACCGATAGTGACTTTTGAGACATTTAGAGGCAAACCTACAGTTGTGGTTTATCTTCTTCTCGCTTTTGCAAACATATGACGCAGGCAGGTAACATCGATGCAATTGTGACATAACTCCGTAAAGACTGAGAAACCTTCCTACGTATGAACCATGCGTAAGTCATATGAAGCTACAGAAGTTTCTGAGAGATGGACAACCTCTCACTTCCTCTGACTCACTCATGCACATGTGTATCTTTATGAGAAAGAGTGGATTAATTTCTCTGAATCCAAACATTAAGATGTATCGGAAAGAACAATCAGCTTTCAGAGACAACAAATGGATTGAGAGGAATAAGTAAGCAAGCAATTTCTCAGCTGAGCAATTCATTTCTATCACTTCCAGCTGTGCAAGGTCCCAGAGTTAGATGTGGTGTGCAACACACTTTTTGGCTGAAGGAGAGCAGTTAACAGGCTACTCAACTGCACCCTTGAGCTCTGGTTGCTTCGAAAGCAGAAAACAATCTGGTGTGAAATATTACAGAGGCAGAAACACCAAGAAACAAGAGATCCTTGAATTACCCAAAAAATATTTGTTATTCTCTACTCAAATGAGGGCTTAACTAACACAGAAAGCAATGTTCGATAATGCAAACAAAACTAATGTCATCTATATTCCTAACCTTTGAGAAAAAGATCCACAAAAGTTCTTTATTCATCCTGTTTTTAAACTTTAATCAGCACCTAACCACTTTGCCGCAACCTCTCTCTTCTCCACAGATGATCAGAGTGTTCGGCTTCAGTCCAAAAAACCCTCTGAAAACTCAGAGGATTTGATACAATGCAGAAATAAAACGTATAACCTTACTCGGTCTCACGTAACCTACATCCACGGTCCTTGTGCTTAATAACTAAATTCCCTTTGTCTCTATAGATGACACTAGACTCTTCTAAAGAAAGTCAGATCTTTCCTTGATGCTTTTGATTCCACAAAACAGTTTTTGAAAATACCAACTACTATATAGGTAACATTCAGTTTAACATTGTTTCAGAACAAAACAGCATGTGTAATTAAAAGTCTGATATCCTAAAGTAAAGTTTAAGTAATCCCAGAAACAACATTTCTACCTGAAACGGACAGAAAAACATTCCATCTCTGATCTGCACCGAATTAAACTTGGCTCTCTGCTCTAAGGATGGCAAGAGGTCTCTCAGTGTCTTAAAAAACTGCCACACATATTAATTCAGTGTCATAATAAAGTGTGCACAAGGGTTCTCAAAAGCAGAATGCATGC